GCAGCAGCACGGTACCATGAATATCAATTTTATTCAAAAGAACAGATAATGAAAACTTTTCATTTTGTGTGACTGACGTGTGATACACTGCATTTCCTTTAATAGGAAATGATGTGCGTACAAAATCCATAGTTGCTATGATTAGTTGTTGCTGATCTTTAAAGATAAGCAGCAAAGTGGGGGGAAAAAGTGAAAACTGTGTCAATTTATCAACAAGAAGGTTACTCAGATACCAGAAGTAATGAGGCTCTGAATAAAAATGACTATAATGAATCACTTCCTTGAAGTATAATTTAGCTTGTGTTTAGAACTGAGTAAGTACAGCTTTGAGGTCCTAAGAAATGTGCATTTCATGAAGGCGAGTGAAATTTCTTTAAGGTCTTAAAAATTAGTTTTGTCCCTGTTACATAATTGGTGCTGCATATATCCCAGTGCAGGATAACGGGGTTTGGATCCTTTTACGCCCTATGCGCACAAAACAATGCAGTCCCTGTAGGTCGCATAAAATCTACTTGGTGTGTAAAGCCAGTGCAGTGCAGTGCACACAGTGCAGTGTGATGGCCCTGGAGATGTATTTTAAATTTGCAGCAGTAGATATTCAGTGGGAAGCAGGTTATATGATCAAGCACCTAATGTTTTCTGCAAATCTGCTTTCCTTAATATTCAGCCTCCGGGAGACTCCTTCCTAACTATCGATCAAAACTTTGCCACAGGGAAAGCAGGGCACGATGTCGTAGAATCAATGTTAGCAGAGCAGATACTTAGAAAATGTTTCAAAAGCCATTTAGACTGCCATTCAGAAAGACCACGCTTGTCTTTGCGTTCTTATTTTCAGTCGTGAAAGGTAAAAGTCAACATTAGTTTAGCAGAGCAACTCTAACTTAAAAAATTATTGCATGTTATTACAGGGAGTTGCACATTACTGCCAAGATATCTGCGATTTTTAGTCACTGGTTTAAAAACAAAGAATTTAATTTTGGGAACAGGTGGTCACCTCACAAAGCAAGAAATCATTGTAACATCTCACTGTTGTCAGTCTAAGTTACAGTTGTTCTGCTGAGTTTTTAACTCCAAAGGCAGCAACTCTAACTTTGATAAAACATTTCTACTGCACCTTTACTTAACTGAAAATAATCCTTAATTCCCGAAGAGTTTTTTTGCTCTTAAAAATCCCGAAGAGCTTGAACAAGTCTGTATCTATTCCTGTATCTAGACCTATTTTACACATCTCTTGGCACATGCTCCACATTGGTAGGTCCCATAACAATGTTCCCCTTTTCATTGCCAGAAAACTCTTGACAAACATTATTTCAGCTGACTGATTTTTTCAAATGCCCACTTCTATAGGGACAGGTGCTCTAGCTTTTTTCCCACTACCTCCAGAGTATTTCCATTTTCTCTTATGTATAATTTAATCAACAAAGACTTACCACTCTCCAGTAAATTTCTGCATGTGTTATTAATTTATTTCATTTATACCTGGCAAAGATGGAAATATTATGTAAACTGAAGATTTATTGCATGGTCTTTAAGTAGAAGACTTCTCACTGTAAAAGCTTCATTAAGGCGGGAAATTCAGCTTCCCTCTGGGCAACTCATGATATTATTTTTTTCGAACAGCCACCCTGGATTTCATGTTAGTACAGAAATGCAGGAGTTGATTCATGTCCTGTACCCCTCTGCCTTCCAAGGTTGAGATTCCAGTAAGAGTTGCTGATTTTTCCCTTTCCCTGCAAACAACAATTTTTAACCCTAGGTTGCTTTGTAGTTTTTGTGGTGCTGAAGAGCCTTTCAGTCATTGTTTGAGTCTTGGCTGACCCATCAGTCCAGGTTCAGTGGTTTTCTTTCTAAAGCTAGCATGGTGCTCCTATGCTGTGTAGTGCTGTTGTGGTATCATGCCATCTTTCACATTACTTCTCTAGGGGAAAGTCAGTGGTGATGCCAAACCAAAAAGGTGGAGAAAAGTGGTTCATCCTCAGACGTCAGAGACTGCACTAAGCCTGTCACTCACATCTTCTTCTGACAACTTTGTGGGTTTTAACATTAATTGAGAGTTTTGCTGATTTCGCCTACAATGACAGATGTCAGGATGTCTAAATCCTGGACGTACAATTTCTTCTCAAAGCCAAAATTTGCATGCAGTGCCTCTTCAGATACTTTTGTTCCATTTTTATTGTTAGGAGCTTGATCTTTTTAATTGTTAGGAGGCTTTCCAGCTCTTGTAATCCTCCAAGCTACAACCTTGTTAACTGATAAGTTCTTTTCTTGCTTCTTTCAACAGATATTCATGTTATTCACATATTTATTATCCTGCTTTCTTTTTTTGTTTTCTTTTACAAACTTTCAGTCGGTTTTTTTGGTGGTTTTTGTTTTGTTTTGTTTTCCCTTGCAGTGCTTTTATTGTCTTGCTTTCCTTTCTTTTCATTCATGAGGATATTTATTTCCTTAGTTCTCCAGAACTAAACCCTGGAGGAGTTGTGACATTTGACATCTATGGCATCTCTTTGACATCTATAAGACATCTATTCTTGTGACTGAAGTTCTGCAACTTGTGAAATGACGAGGGCCTCCATAAATACAGGTGCACAGATTGAAGTGATTATTGATTTGTGGCATGAAGTAGAGCTTAAAGCACAGACCAAAGAATGGCTAGCTGGCTGGGGTCCGGGTTTTTCCAAGACAGCCTACAGGGTGGAGTGATGTGATTGATAGTGCTGCCCAAATTTATGTTGATTAAAGGGAGTAGTTAAAGTGACAACAGGTTGTGGGAGAACCACCATATACTCGAGTGTTACACATGGAGCAATAGCAATAGATGGTGCTGTGCTACACAGAGTGTGTTTTTTCATTCTCCTCCATCTATAACAGTAAGTTTTCTTAGTAATAGAGTGCACTTCTGTATACTGTGGAAGACGAAATCTCAACTCTCTGAACATTAAGTATCTTTTCTATAAGGCCTTGGTGTTTTGGAGGTATTTAAGTCATGTTAGGATCAGAAAAAAAAGTACCACATAAAGCTGAAAGGTGGGAAATCCCACTATGAAACTGCAATAAGCAAACGGTTATGAATTTCTCTTCATTGGTGAACTAGTCCTGAGCTGTTGGACCTGAAATCCACTGACATTTCAACTACTCCCGTGTTTCTTAGTGACCAAAGAGCAACATTTTAAAGACCTCTCCCCAGTTTGCAGCTAGGGATCTGGATAGGTATGGTCTGATATGGGAGGCCCCGAGCTTGTTCCCAAACTGTCCAGCCCAGAAACTGCCCTGGTTCACTGAAGGGTGCCTGGGAAAGGCTGGTGGCTCTGGAGACAGTTAGGACCCCCCTGACAGTGACAGGCACCTGAAAGGATGAGCTGAGGGGGATGTTGGGGGACAGAGATCCTCTGTCACTGCAAGTTTCCTCAGGAAAAAAGCTATTTCATTGAGCCCAGACTTTTTTTCCCTGATTCAATGTCTCTGGTGCTGGGTGGCCATGCCAGCACTGCCAGCACCACACCAGCAGCCCAGAAAGCCCACGGTGGGTCGCATGGGGCTGGAGCAGGGATGTGGTGGCCAAGGATCCCCCACTCAGAACCCTGAGCTACTCCATGCCTCGGGGTAGCCAGCAGTGGTTTTGTGCGATTTTTTTTTGGAACAAAGCGAAACATTCCCACAATCCTCACCTTTCCCAAAAACATAGCCCTGCAGGGTGGACACGCTTGCCTGAGTCTGACCAGGCTGCCAAACACATCCCTCTATTCATGAGTCAGTCGTCAAAACTGGGCTCCCAAAACCCGGCAGAGGGAGAGTCTGAGACATCCTGTAGTTTTCACCCACTTCAGCTGGGGAGGATTAATTTCAGAGCTGCTGAATACTCAAGACACTTGATTTTTGGTGACTGACTATGAGATTAAGGGCCAGAGATGAGCGCTGAAGATCTTAGGCATGCAGCTGGATTAATTAACACTGATCATTAATGGAACATCAGAGGAGGAACAGTTTGCTGTTGTTATTGCCAGGTAGTACTCCCAGACAACAAAATCAGTCCACGTGCCTCCTTCCGAGCTAGGACACAACTCTGGTCCTCTGCTGCACTGTGCTTCCTGGAGCCCTCCAGGCTTACACTCCTCTTCTGGGTCACCAAAGGTCTGGAAAAAATTAAGCTACGTTTGTATATCCCTGCCTCCATGTGTCAGCAGGATACCTGACCAAAAACCTTGAGCAGGGAAGGTGCCAGTAGGTGTACAGCTGGAACGTCCTCCACGTGAAGGTGTATGCAACATTGGCAAACCAAATTTCTACCCATAATGTTACTTTAATAGTCCACAGTTTTACAGCAACATATGTTCAAAATTATCATTTCCAGAAAACTGCACAAGGCTGAGGAAGTTTAACCAGAATGTTAAAAGAGCTCTTCAGAAAAATACAACATAATAACGTTTTGCCAACTCTTTGAATGTATTTATTAATGTTTGAATTTGTGTAAGGAAGTTTCCATGCTATAAATTTTTATTAAAAACATGTCATTAGAAATAAATAGTACATTTATAGTCATAAACAAACCAATAATTTTTACACACACTGATGTTGGGTTTCCTCTTACAAAACTGAGAGTGTATTCCACCATCTATTTTTTTTTGTTTGTACTTGATATAAAAGGATAAAGTTGCTGCATGAAGTTTTTACTTATTGTGGGTTTCATATGTCCTCAGACTAGATACAGAGAGGGTTTGTGTCTGTTTTCCTAGTAATATTAATATGGGAAACATAGCTTTCTGCTCTTGCTATTGATTTTGGATGTGGTAAATGAGCTTAAATACCGCAGAAGGAATATAATAACAAAGATTAATATATTGGTTGTTTTTTCCGTCTCATGGAAATTGATTTGTATGAAAAAAGAAATATGCTTGTACAGTAGAAAGGCTTGATAATACCAGCTGGTTAAAGGAAAAATACATTTTTTTAATTTACCAGAACCTTATTTTCATTAGCTATGTGAAAATGTGTGGCGTGGTTTCTCAGATACTAGGAAAGCAGAATTCCTCAATGCTGTTCTCCTTTCTGTTTTCTGTTTCCTGCAGATCGAGTTGATGATACTCAAATGTCACACGGTTGATGTGTTTGCCGCTGGAGACCATTCGCAGCACAGTATTATCACAGCCAATCTTCATTTGGGCTAGTTAGGGAAAAGAGATATAGAGGAGATAAGAATAGAGGGAAAAAAAGATATATAGTGTTGGGAATTACAAAGCACTGATATATAGCATTTTGGAAACAAAGCAAGTGTAGTAATGACCAGCCAGCGGTGGTATTTCTGACTAAATACCTTCTTTTGTATTCGTTAGTTTGACTTTACCAATGGCTTGGATATTTAATGAAGTGTTGCGACCTTGTTACAGTGCCAACGCCACTCACTTCACCCACGGTCTCACGTGTATCGGTGGACAAGACGCAGAGGTCTGTGCATGTTTGCATTTGGGAAGGTACGCTACCGTTAGATACCAGAAGGGATAGGTAAGAGTAGTGGCACCCTACCCTGCCGATATCCAAAATTCACAACGTTGAACCGTTTCCTGGTAGAGGAATGCGTGGTTTTGTGCATAAGGAGGTTCTTCACAGTAACAGAGGCATGTGAGAGTCCCACCAGGACAAACTCAACCGGCAGTGCCCAGCGTATGGACTCGCTCCGGGGAAAATCAAGCATACCACTAACCACTGCTTTAGACGAGCCATTTGAGGGGGGTTTGGCAAAGCCTGTTTCATGTGGGGAACTCAGAGCGTCTTCCTCAGTGGGGCAGAAATCTGCTGGGTCCTTGGGAGAGCGGGGGCTGCTGAGATGGGATTTCCCTTCCTTCACACTGCCAGGAAATCAACACTTCAATCTCGTTGCAGTGCTCAGTGTTCACTCAGCACCAGCGCTTGCCAGTTAAAGCTTTCAATAGTGCCTGGACCATTAAGTTGTGGTGTGATGTACGGCAAAGGCGATCACGGGGGTGAAGTGCCAGGCACGTTCCTGCTCCCCAACCCCGCAGAAACGCTGCTCATCCAGTGCACCCACCCAAGGTATAACACGTGTGCCACAGGGGCTGGTCTGTCACGTCACTGCAACAGTTCATACTCTGCTGTATTGAATATTAAGGGAACTGTGAAGTGATATTTTTATGGGGGGAAAGAGGTCACCAACCTGGCACAATAGTGAAACAGGTTCAGAGCTCCTCTAGGGTTCAAAGCAGAGAGTGGGAGCTCTGAGGCTTTTGGGGTATGTGTTACTCCTGCTGCAGAAAAGGAGGCTTTGGAAGCACTGAAAAACTCAGAAAAAAACCTCCTGAAATTGTAACTGGTCTGCCTTCATTTGTTATGAATTTCCAGGCACATTTATCTGTTGGCACTCTAATAATCACATGTGTTATAGGACAAGCATTTAAAAAATATCTATAACTTTGTTATAATGATTACTGCAAGGGCAAGTGAAGGTGGTCGTGGGTGTGCTGTATCACACAGCCCAGCTGCAGGCTCAAATAGCTTTAGCTCTCATCTTCTGCTACATGTGAAGTTCACCAGTCTAGCAGGAAATCTGGGGTTGTGGGGGCTCTGCACAAGTCCCTCTGGTTAATTGTTTTATCACATGTGGATAAGTGGGAGAAGCAGTTCTTACCAGATCCGTGAAAGGAGTGACAGAGATCAGCTAGTGGAAACATTTTGGATGGGTCTAAGCCGGTTCCTCCTAGCAGCTCTACAAAATCTCCCACTCCTGCACAGCCCGCTGATGGTTTCTAAAAAGGCAGAGATTAAAAGTTATTTCTCATTCATCTTCAAAACATAGCACTTCTCTGGACATGATTGCAGCCAACAGTAGGTTTTAAAAGTCCCCTGTGCTCAAACTTGTGTGAAATCAGGCTGTTCTCATCCTGAGCAACACTACTTCAATTTGACATTAGTCAGTTAATTTCCTTAAGGGATTCCAAAGAAAGACCTAAGCAGGCTCTGAAAATTACTGGCAAATAGTTAGGGTGTTGATTCAGCTGCTTTTAGTGCAGATAAACGATACGACTCTGGATGCTTAGACATGTAATCGAATTAATACAGGCATGGTCTGCACGTGTGCCCACACGTAGCTGGCAGGCAGGAACTTAAGTTCCTTATAACCATACTTATTTCTAAGCAATAAGTGTTGCTAAAACGCGCTATTCTGGCAAAGTTTAATGAAAGTAGGAATTAACCAAAAGACTAGTTTTGTATGATGACAATGGCTCACTGTATATTAGACCCACAAGTATTCTTTTCCTGAAAATTAACGCTGTTTGCCAAAAACATCTTGCACGGACACCTTGTGACCTTTGGGCTGTCACCGATGTGCTGCTAATTTAAGTGCCTGATTTCTTTATCGTCCTGCTGCTGTTGTCCCTTTTCTGCCCACTGCTTAATAAGTCAACACATTTGCCCATCTCTCAAAGCCTGGATTGCTCAGACACTGGCAGTCTCTGTGAAGGACCTAGGCTGCCAGTCTCACTGGCAGCAGAAAACAAACTTTCGTGCTCCTATCCTTCTGGATGTTTTGGAATTTGCACCTTCTTAGACCTCTCAGGCACAGGGTGCCACCAGCAGCTCTTGACCTTTCCTGTCTGGCCATCACCAAGCACCAAATGGTGTGGCCAAACCCCAACGCCATGCTGAGCATCATCAGAGCAGACGGAGAAGAGGATGCTCAGCATGCCAAGCAGGGAATCAGTTGGGAGCACGTTGGCATTTTCTCTGTGCTAATACCTCACTATCTAACCCTTGTCTCCTTCCTCTATCCAGAGTGGTTGCTGCCTTCATTAGTTTAAATACAGACAGACAGCTCTTCGGGAGAGCACTCCTTTCTTTCTAATTAAATTCTTACCCTTTGTTATGGCAAGCAATATTTACACGCATTAATGGCACTTTGCATAATTTGATTCCCTCTGCAACATTGCAGAGACAACAGCCACAAGAGACAGACCCCACTCTGGGGGGAAACCAGAGCCCGCAGCGTGTGTGCACATGGTCCGGAGTGCACATGCCTTAGTTAGCCTGTGCCACGTGCCATCCCTGCTTCACCCCTTTCCCTCTCCTGTTCCCAGGAAAAATGCACATGGCAGTAATTTCTTAGGAAACAAATAACTCACCTTCAAAAAGAGGCCATTTAAACGTCCCAAGATAAGATCAGATATTTTTATCACCACTGGGTAGATTATGGAGAAGCTACAGTTTCTGTGCTGATGAGGAATGACCATGGTAAATCTTCCCGAGGGAGTCTGAGAGATGACGTTGCAAGCTGGGGCACAGGAGAAGGTGCAAAAGTTACTTGTGCAGTCATCACTGCATGTAGCAAAATTATGTAATTTCAGTACTAACAAAGAACAGATGAATTAACTACTGAGACTTACAACCAAATGCTGAAAAATACACATATGGTGTTTGCTGGCATCCTTGCATAGCATTTGTTCCCTAAAAATTCCCTGCCTGTTGCCTACCATGTAGCATGAGGTCTGGCAGAACTTGGAGGTGAAGTGGTCGATGGGAGAACTCACACCCCAGATCCATACATCAGGGGCTCATGTTGTCGGGGACTCATACTGTTTGCCAGCTTGAAGGAGGCTAAATATGGATGCAGGGCTTTTGTTTGGCTTTGGTTATCACCTGATATTGCCAGCAAACCCCTAAGTCCTGTTCTGCTCCTCTTAACTGGAGTTCCTTTCCCTGCAAAACATCCCACTGAAACTAGAGCAGGTACATCCTGATTTTATCTTAAAGTTCAAACTTAACAATTCAGGCAAGGGAGCAGCTTATCACCTGCATGTGTGACCCAAGGGATTCTCCACGCAGACCTGGAGGCCTGCAGCTGCTTTAGCAGGACGGTGAAGGACACAAGCCACCTCCAGCAGCTGCACATAATAATCGCATCCACAGGCATGAAGCCACACCAGCATGGAGATGCAGCTTGCAGGCTTGTGTCTGAACAACTTGGAGTAAGGACGGGGCAGACATGCCGTAATCTTTATCCTTTGCATGGTGAGGCAGATAAATCAGACTGGCCCCAACAGTAGTTGTTAAATGTCCTGTCCCCTCTTGGAAAAACGATGCAAGTGACCATCACTTGTGCCTTGCCAGCTCACAGGCTTAGGGAAATAACTTGCAAATAGATTCTTGGGATTATATATCACACATAACTATTCAATACACTCTTTTTGCTGTTGAACCTTTTCAAATAGTTCTTCCTCATTGTTCACCGAGATTTAGAATTTGCTGAGATTAAACTCTCTAAATTAATACTGTTTGTTCTGGCTAGATGTGTGGGAACATGAAATATTAGATTAGAAGAGATCTTCTTTGAAAGAAAGAGCCTTCCAGTCCTGAATATTGAAGCCATGCCTACATTATGTCTTACACTTCACTTACTCTTTTTTTTTTTTCCTTGAAACACACACTGAGCCCGAGTCAAATCCTCAGGCTGCAGGTGTGCGTGGCTCCGCCGCGTTACTGGAGCCGTGTCAGTCTGGATAACACCAGTGAGAGAATTCAGTGCAAACCAACACATGCATTTTGTCTCCTGACCCAAATGCAAGCACGTTTGATGGTATAAAAAGGCAAGACTTACGAAAGAGGTTGGCGTTTTTCTTGACTGTGACAGTAAATCCATTGCCTGGCTGGTGGATCCTGAAGAAGATCATTGCCACGTTCTGCGACGACCTGATGCTCCTCTGAATATTGCCACTTTCACAAAAGTCTATGTATCTTTGGGAAGTGGGGAGGGGATGGTCCAAGGAACTCGGAAATTTCTCTCCTTTGAGTATCCAGCCATCAAATACCTACAGGGTTTCAATAATTGAAAACAAGGCTTTTGCTTATTGCTCTGTTAGCAGAGAACAGAAACAAGAACTTACACACACTGTTTTATTTTGACACCAGATGGCCTGTTCAGAGCCACCAATTAAAACAAAATTCATTTTACTCAAGCTTCAATCTGTATTTAGGAAAGAGATACATTTAAATTTTAATGTTGTCTTTATTTCCTTCAAGTAACAGTTTTGGTGACCTTTTTTTGAGGGAAGCAGCTCTTTTTGCTCCAGCATCATCACATTTGCATCCATCTTTTTATTTCTTACTATTGCAATTTTATTGTTACTAAGAGAAGTTTTTGACCAGCTTGATTTGGAAGCCACATGAAACATAAGTCACCCTCTCAAACTTTGGGCATTAAGTCCATTGATCTGGCCTGTAATTTTCCACCATCCACGTTCTGCAGCTTGTCATTAACAGGCCCGGAGGCCTTCCAGAGGTATTGGAATACAATAAAGCTTCGGGGAGGAATTATTGGCAGAGGTATTACTCTCTCCTGCGTCTGCTCTTTCAGCTTATCCTAACCACTAGAAAGCAGAACAAATGCTGCCTATTTGGCTGGACCTTAAGCAACAACCTCTTCAAATCTTTCCTTCACAATAAAAATAGCAACAATTTGCCCTCACCGTCTTCAGGGAAATGTGTCAGAACTAGAAATCTGTATTAACTCCAGCATAGCTGCGCAGTTGCCTGCCTTGCTGTTTCAATTCCCTCTTAGCCACTTTCACCCAGTAATTCCTTCTACGCTCCAGTCCATACTTTGAAAATCTGAGGACCAGATCCTGCCACTGCTTCAGTGAATAATCCTAATATGACTATGTGTGGGACTTCCTCATGGAAAACCTGCAGGATCAGTCGCTGGATTTGCCCAAACGGTAAATTTTCTGAAGTAACAAGATGTGGGTGCTCAAATTACACCCGGAAAAAGCTGCCTGTAAAAATACAATAGTATAATGCAGAAACTGGGACCCTATGATCGAAAGGAAGGAAACCTCTGTAAAGCCTCAAAGATCTCTTGGCATTTTCCTAGCCTCCGTAAGCGGCTGTAAGTCTAGGTACAAAATCCTTGGACCCACAAGTGGCTGAAATCGGCCTCCCTGGCGCAACGTGGGGAGAGATCCCAGCCAGGGGTATGGGATGGAGGGACAGGATTCCCGAGGGTGGTCAGCCTCTCGCCAAGAGAGGGAGACAAGGAAAGGGCTGAAGGGCAGCTTTCCTCCTCCTCCTCCCCCTCCCCCTCCCCAGAGCTCAGTTCACCACCATGTGGGATCAGGGCTGTGCTGTGCACGGCCAGCGCACCGCAAAGGGCAGAGCGCAAGGAGAGGGGAGCAGCCAGGGCCGTCGGCCCCTCTCCTGAACTGAGTTCAGGTCTTGGTTCCGAGTTCAGATATGCTTCTGCCTGCCAGCAAAATGTGCTGGTAAGGTTTTTTGATACTGGAATATAAACGGCTCCGAGTCATAAATCTCTTTATGTTCAGAGCCAATGCCCTGAAAAGCTCTAGCGGGGCCATTTGAAAGAAAGCCTACAATGATCCAGTCATTAATAAGCTGATGCTACGTGACCTGCGAGTGGAGGTCCTGGAGCAGCAACAGCCATTCAAAGAGCTGTATCATATCTGCAGGGCTCATGTGATTCATGGTGCAATGAGAAAACCCTCCTAATGGGGCTGAGGGGCTTGGCTCATACTGACCAAACTTTTCAGTCAGTCCCTCAGGTGTGGACACTCAGTAGAGGTGCTCCTGGAAAAGTT